CGAGAGTGGAAGTGACTTTCAAGATACACGGAAAGTTGCTGCGGCAGCAAAATCCATGGTGTCAACATCCAAGTTTTCTTGTATGGCTCCTGGAAAGGAAAATGTATTTTCAAGGCCGTGGAAATGTAATTGAAGCAGATCGCAAGTTACACAGTACGCGTCACGCCATATGTGCTGCTGGCCCATATTCACACACACTCTCCAATTTTAACCTGTTTATTCCTTCCCTGCTCGCTCTTCTTCATAATGCAAGCATCTTTTTTCTTTACTAAGTATACTGACACAGACAGATGGAGTTCAATTCCAGGTGAATGAACTGCTTACGTTCTCAGAGTTGTGTTTAGACCTAAATCTGAGCTAGGAGTAGGGAAATATGCTTGAGGTTTCAGTCAAACAGACATTCACCCTTTCGGCCAACTGAATCACCACCTTTCTGTTCCATGCACTGAAAAACCTTTGTTCACTTTAGGAGCAAAATAAAGGACTGGTTGGGAAGAAAATGGATAAATAGTTAAAAGGTTAAAGTATATCAAAAACCAAAACCTTTTTTTAATTTGCATAGAGATATGAGAGGGTTAAAAACAATGTCTGTTCTTTGCCATTTGTATATAATTAGGGAGATTTTCTTTAATTTCCTGACCTGTACACTCAACAGGAAGTGAGAGGATATCTTTCCAATGTGAGGAAAGGGTGATTCCCTCCTAGCCAGGGGAACGATTATCCCTCTATTCCTGTTCTTAAAATTTTGGATTTACCATCTTATTTATTTCCAATGGCATTGGCGGTCAGGAGAATGTCAGAAATTGACAGCAACAAAAAAATTTCAGTGGTTCTAACCCACTCTGTCCAAATCCAGAAAACAAGTTTTTCCTTTAATCATTTTTAAACCTCTTGCCGCCACCAATGAATGCTATACGTTGGCAGCAGCAGGGAATTATACATTCCGGGCTGCTACAGTCACTTTCTCAGGCTGCATTGGCCAAGGAAGGGGCTAATGAAGTGTGATCTTGTGAGTTTAGCTCATGTTAGCAACTTTTGATGCTTCTCCGATAGACCTGACAGGTAGCCTAACAGCCAACTGAAGAAGTGCACATGACCGTCTTAAAACACTGTTGCTAATTGCGAAGTGGTGGCTTAACATTGTCAGCTTGCATCAGGAAGTGCTGATACTTGAAGGATCTCCGGTTAAGTAGATTCGCAAGAACTGATTTTCTTCAGAAAACTGATACAGTGAGGTTTCTTCAGAACCAAACTGTATACAGTGAGGTATGATGGCAAACAAACCAAAAATACATTCTGAGTTTACATACACTTAAAAGAAAAAAAACATTGTAATGAATGTCTGCACATACTCCACATTTTACATTTTAATCATTTGGAGTGGTCAGGTTACGACAGTGATGTTAAGTTCCATCCAGGTCAGGGGAGGACTGGGAACATTTGACCTTGGAACAAACACCCCAAACCTGCCTTTTCATGGTAAGCATGGTTTCCTATGGTCTAAAGAAATTTCCCTACAAAAAGTGTGCCGCAGTGGCCATGGTACAAGGTGACCTAAAGAACCTGTTTTCCTGTTCAAATATTTTATTGGTATTTTAACAGGGGGGAAAAGAAGGGACATTGATGACAGACATTTCTCAGGCATAAAAACACAGAAATTGGCAGCAATGACAATAATGTCTATACAAAGAAGGGGGGAGGAGGGGAATGGTATTTTAACAATATGACATTGCAGGAAGCATAAGATGGGTAAAGCTAGTAGCCTAAGTGCATATAAGATTTTGACAAGTAAATAGACACGCTCCCCTATGTTTCATTGGGGGATCATGATATAGGAGTGCAGAGTTATGCAGGATGGTTAGGGGGAGGGGGGTCAGGGGGGGAGAAAAAAAGGGGGGGGGGAATAGGGCAGGGAGGTCAGAGGGAGAGTGGGGAGGGGTAAGAAGGAGTAAGTGACTCCCCAGTTAGCAGCAGTAAAAAGTAAATGAAGGAGTATGTGAAATCGGTAGGGAATGGTACCAGAGTAGTATGAAGTATTTATTATGGGTTAAGAAGTGATTCGTCAAAGTTTGGCAAGAGGAAACATTCAACCCAGGGGTTCCAAACATTCTGGAATTTAGGGATAGTAACTAGAATTGTGGCTTCCACTTTAGCGTAAATCATAGCTTGGGTAACTTTATTCTTAACTACTGCAATACTTAGGGAGGGAAATTTCCAAGACTTAGCTATGACCTGCTTGGCTGCTGTAGTAACTTGTAGAATAAGTTTGAATTGTGAGTTAGTTACGCCAGGGGGGCGTAGATTAAGCAGCGCAGTAGTCGGGTTCGGTTGGAGTGTTTTGGCACTAAGTTTAGACAGTATGCCAAAGACGTCCGATTGGGCAATCCCACCATATATGGAAATGCGTACCCAGGTCTACACAGCCTCTAAAGCAAGTGGGGGAATACTTAGGAGTATACTTTGCAATTCTCGCTGGGACCAGGTACCAGCGGGTTAGGACTTTATAATTAGTTTCCAAAGCTACAATGTTTTGTGACCATGATCTGGTATTGGACCAGATATGGTCCCAGTCAGAAGGGTCTAGTTGCCGGCCAAGGTCTGCTTCGCATTTGCGAATGTATGAGGGAGGTGACGTGGTGACCGAGGTTGTAAGAAGTGAGTACAGGTTTGAAATGAGGCCTCATCTATGTGGGTCTTTGTGACAGGCCCGTTCAAAGATAGACATGGTGTTCGTTTGGTTAATTGCTGTGGTGTATGGGGCGTAGAAATGTTTCAATTGCAAATATCGCAATATTTCGGAGGCTGGAAGTTCATATACTTCGCATAATGAGGTAAAGGATTTAAATTTGTTCCAAAGCATGAAGTGATGGGCCCGGAGAAGGTTGGCTGAGGTCCATTGTTTGAATATGTGTGGGGAGGACCACGCTGGGATAAAGGCTCGGTTTCAGAGATATGAGAGCAGGGGATTATGTGGTGATTGTAGAAGATAGCAGGATTTTAGTTTGTCCCAAAGCAACAAGAAATGAGATGTGATGGGGTTGGTTATCAAGTGGCGGTCTATAGGTCTTAACCATAGAAGGTTAACAGTAGACAGGGGGTCGACGTCTATGGATTCAAGGATAACCCATTGAGGAATTTTGTGGGTCGCGTGATATTTTGGCAATTGCGCTAAGTGTGCTGCCTGGTAATATTTGCTAATATCTGGAAGACCTAGTCTGCTGTTAAGTTTGGGGCGATATAGGGTTGAGCGGGGTACATGAGGACGGACCATGCCCCAGACGTAAGAAAATATGCGATGCTGTAAGGTGCAAAGGTAGTGGGCGGGTACAGGGATTGGGAGAACTCTAAAAAGGTATAACATTTTGGGAAGGATTGACATTTTCAGGACTGCTATTTTGCCTAGCCATGCAAGCAGTAGAGAGGACCATTTGGTCATAAGAGCAGTTAGATGGGCTAACATAGGAGAGTAGTTGGCGGTGTATATATCTGAGATATTGGGGGTCAGTTTTATACCCAGGAAGGGAATAGAACATTGTGACCAGGAGAACAGAAGTATTAATTTAAAATCTTTAGGGGTAAGGGAGATATTGAGTGCTATTGATTTTTGGGGATTATTTTGAAGGCCTGAGAGTGAGCCAAACCTCTCGAGAAGCCAGAGGAGAGAAGGAGAAGAAGTCAAAGGGGAGTTGAGAAAAAGTAAAACGTTGTCTGCAAATAGACATAATTTGTGTAGGGAGCCTCCTATCTTGAGTCCATGAATATCTGGGTTGGCCCTAATCAGAAGGGCCAACGGTTCTATGGCCAAGGCGAATAGAAGAGGGGACAGGGGGCAACCCTGTCTGGTGCCACGGGAAATTGGGAATGGAGCAGACCGATGTCCAAGATACCTGATTCTGGCTGAGGGTTCGCAATAGAGTGAGAAGTTAAAAAGTGAGGGCCAAAGCCCCATCGAGGCAGAAAGTAGTGCAGGTATGGCCAAGAGACTGTGTCAAATGCCTTCCAGATGTCTAAGGACAGGAAACAGGCGGGAATATTGTGAGATTTGGCTATGTGTGCTTGGAGGGTTGCGTGTCGGACGTTGTCTCCGGCTTGTCGGGATGGAATGAAGCCCACTTGGTCATTATGAATTAGGGATCCAATGCATGAATTGAGACGCGTAGATAAAATTTTAGCCTATAATTGGCCTATAATTGGACCATTGTGTGTCGTCCGAGTTTGGTTTTGGGATCATTGAGATGTTGGCTTGCACTGTTTCTGGGTGTCAGGGCTCCCAGTAAGACCAGAGATGTGTGAACTGACACAGGGAAACGCAGGCTCAAGTATGGTGCAACAATATAATTTATTAAAGGTTATACACAAATATAACACGCACAATATAACAAAACCAAACCTCCAACTGATAACGGAATGTACACAGACAAGAGCAGTCAGGGCTGGTGAGGTGGAGTGGTCAGGCAGGCCGGGTCAGGAACCATCGGGCAGACAAGACACAAAGGAGCAGGCAGAGCGTAGTCAGATGGGCCGGGTCAGGAACAATCAGGTAGACAAGGTACCAAAGGAGCAGGCTGGAGAGTGGTCAGGAATATCCGGGGTCAGGACAGGCGGAGTTCATTCACAGTCAGGATCAAAGCAGAATCAGGAATCAGGCAGGAAGCAGACAGGATGCAGGTACAGGGGCTCATGGAAAACATAAATCAAGGCACTGATTGCAGGTCTGGCCATTCCTTAAATACACCTCCTGCAATCAGCCTCAGGTGATGGCTGACTGCAGGAGTGAGCTTCTGGTTGCTGAGAGCACCCGCTGGCCAGCCCTGGTACTGCAGCCCACATGGCAGATGAGTCCCACCACCATTGGCGAGTCCATTCCTGACAGTACCCCCCCCCTCAAGGACCGGCCTCAGGACGCTCCAAACAGTCCTTAGTGGGCAAAATGTTCCTCCGCCTGGGTCAGGTAACTGGCTGGATATCAGGGGCTGGCACATCAGGCTGGGCAGCGGGCAGAGGCACATCAGGCTGGGCAGCGGGCGGAGGCACTTCAGGCTGGGCAGCTGGCGGAGGCACATCAGGCTGGGCAGCGGGCAGAGGCACATCAGGCTGGGCAGCTGACAGAGGCACATCAGGCTGGGCAGCGGACAGAGGCACATCAGGCTGGGCAGCGGACAGAGGCACATCAGGCTGGGCAGTGGACAGAGGCACATCAGGCTGGGCAGCAGGCAGAGGCACATCAGGCGGAGAAGCGGGCACCGGCCATTGGGCGAGGCAGCGGGCACCGGGCCATCGGGCCGAGCAGCGGGCACCGAGTCATCGGGCAGAACAGCGGGCACCGGGTCACCAAGCTCGACAGCGGGCATCGAGTCACCTGGCACGAAAGCGGGCACCGAGTCATCTGGCACGACAGCGGGTACCGAGTCATCTGGCACGACAGCGGGCACGAGTCATCTGGCAGAACAGCGGGCACCAAGTCACCTGGCTCGACAGCGGGCACCGAGTCATCTGGCACGACAGCGGGCACCGAGTCACCAGGCACGAAAGCGGGCACCGAGTCATCTGACACGACAGGGGTACCGAGTAATCTGGCACGACAGCGGGCACCGAGTCATCTGGCAGAACAGCGGGCACCGAGTCACCAAGCTCGACAGCGGGCACCGAGTCATCTGGCTGGATCGGGTCATCAGGCCGGATCGGGTCATCAGGCTGGATCAGGCCATCAGGCTGGGTAGCAGGCACCAGATCATCAAGCTGGATAGGATCATCAGGCTGGATCGGGTCATCAGGCTGGATCGGGTCATCAGGCTGGATAGGGTCATCAGGCTGGATTGGGTCATCAGGCTGGGTAGCGTACACCAGATCATCAGGCCGGATCAGGTCATCAGGCCGGATTGGGCCATCAGGCTGGGTAGCGGGCACCAGATCATCAGGCTGGTTAGGATCATCAGGCTGGGTAGGATCATCAGGCTGGATCGGGCCATCAGGCTGGGTAGGATCATCAGGCTGGGTAGGATCATCAGGCTGGGTAGGATCATCATGCTGGGTAGCGTACACTGAGTCATCAGGCATCAGGGCATCAGGCTGAACAACGGAAGGCGGGTTCACAGACGGCAGGCTGACCGGTTTGGATACTGGTAGGATGGTACTGGTTGGAAAGAATTTTCGCTTCTTCTTGGGTTTAGTTACTGGCGCACTGCAAGTAAATGCAGGTCTGTAAATGGATGGAGTAGCTGGGGACAGAGAAGAGCTGGAGGGTGGAACAGAGGAGGGAATAGTTGTTACAGCGGCCTTTTTTACAGGGTTAAAGGCAGGATAGGTGCAGCGAGTGGGAACAGGGTACTGACATGTAGTAGATAGCAGGGTATATTGGGCTGTCACTGGGGGTGCTGTCGGGAATGCAGGAATAGAGCTATGAGCAGAGGAATGATTAGAAGCAGGACGGGTTTGTTGCAAGCTGACTGAGGCTGGGTGTAACAAGTCTGACCAGGACTGTAGTATTGGTTGAACAAAACTCAGTTTACACATAGCCTGTCTGACCAAAGACTGCACTGCATTTATACAATCCACTAGCACATGTGGTGAACATGCTGAATAATGTTCCCAGAAGCAATACGGATCATCCTCCAACAACCATACCAGTGATTCTATTTGATCCACACTGAATGGTGGAAGAAAGTCATCCCTGCTTTCAGGGGTACTGGATGAAGCCAACTCAACACAAGCGTGAATCAATGGTTGCACCTCAGAGAACTCTGTGCCCTGATCTACTAGGGAATGAGCGACCCGTATGCACTCTAGCAGCTGATCCCTGGTATACTCCTGCAGAGTCTGATAGGCATATTCTCTGTCATCTAAGACGAGCAAATACAGTATACCACCTCCTCAGGATGCATCCTTCCCAACAACAAGCCAAGATGGCTTCCCTGTGCAGCCACTTCTGGTCAGGAATGGCCTTGGTGTAATGTCAGGGCTCCCGGTAAGACCAGAGATGTGTGAACTGACACAGGGGAATGCAGGCTCAAGTATGGTGTAACAATATAATTTATTAAAAGTTATACACAAATATAACACGCACAATATAACAAAACCAAACCTCCAACTGATAACGGAATGTACACAGACAAGAGCAGTCAGGGCTGGTGAGTTGGAGTGGTCAGGCGGGCCAGGTCAGGAACCATCGGGCAGACAAGACATCTGATCAAAGCAGAATCAGGAATCAGGCAGGAAGCAGACAGGATGCAGGTACAGGGGCTCATGGGAAACATACACCAAGGCATTGACTGCAGGTCTGGCCATTCCTTCAATACACCTCCTGCAATCAGCCTCAGGTGATGGCTGACTGCAGGAGTGAGCTTCTGGTTGCTGAGAGCACCTGCTGGCCAGCCCTGGTACTGCAGCCCACACGGCAGATGAGTCCCACCACCATTGGCGAGTCCATTCCTGACACTGGGTTAAAGGTTTGGTCCGATAATATGGCATTGAAGGCATTAGTAAGAACAGGCATAAGGTGGTGGGTACATTTTTGGTAGTATGTGACAGAAAAGCCATCGGGTCCTGGGCGTTTACGGGGCTTTAAGAATTTGATAGCATTTAGGGTCTCAGTTGGAGTGATGGGGCGTTCTAATGCTGTCAGTTGGTGTTACGAAAGTTTTGGGAAGGCGAGGGGGCCAAGAGGGTGTCCGCCTGGGAAGGGTCAAAGGGTGTGGAGGAAGAATACACATAAAGTCGTGAAAGATGTTTGTGGAAGACTTGTAAGATGCGTTCCGGATTACTAGTGGGGTTGCCAGAGGATGTGCATAATCGAATGGGTTTGGTGATCTCATCAAGCCTACGGAGTGAAAGAGCTAAGAAGGTGCCAGGTTTATTGGCTTTTGTATAATATTTATGCTGAGACCTGCGAAGTGAGAGCTCTGCCTGGTCCGTGAGGAAAAGATCAAGGGCCAATTGGGCCCGTTCCAGGGCTTCTCAGTTGGCTGGGGAGGGGGTTGCCTGGAAGGCTTGATGAGATTGGTCATAGGTTTTTTCAACGAGAAGGCGTTGTTGTCTTTTCTCTTTATTTAAAAAGGATGCTTTGCTAATGCAGAACCCGTGAAATACAGGTTTATGTGGTTCCCAAAGTAGGAGAGGGGAGATGTCAGGGGTTTGGTTTAGAGATAGGTAGTTTTTGAGCGCAGTTTCAATATCTGAACAATGTGTCGGGTTTGTTAAGAGGTTGTCATTGATGATCCAGGAGGAATCCAGGGGGGATGGGGCCAAAGAGGCAATGGAAGTGAGTACAGCACAGTGATCTGACCAGGGAATTGGTAGGATTTCGGAGGCCAATAATCGGGGGGAAGAGCTAGCAGTCATGAAGATGTGATCTATTCTCGAGAATGTCTTATGATGGTGGGAATAGAAGGTATATTGGCGCTTTATCGGGTTAAGTTCTTTCCAGGTATCTATCATGGAGTAACATTGTAGTATGGCTTGGAAGGTTTGTTTGGAGGTGGGTGGGGGTGGAGGGTTGAGGGGACTTGTCTAGAAAGGGGTATAAGGTATGATTTGAATCTCTGCAAACTAACAGTGTACCACGTTTATGTTGGTCAATGATCGATAATAGGTGGGAGAGAAACGGTAAGGGACCTTGGTTCGGGGCATAGTACGTTGTGATGGTGACATCAACGTCCAGAAGTTGTCCGGTTAGCAGGAGGTAATGACCTTCGTGATCTTTAAGTTCAATATGCAACGTGAAGGGAGTTCGGTGAAAGGCAATGAGTACTTCTCTATGCTTGGTAGGCTGTGTAGACATGTGGGTAGTGGGGGCCAAAGAATTTGGGAGTGGAGGAGGGAGTGTAGTGTGTCTCTTGAAGGCAGACTATATGAGCTTTATGTGATGCAAAGGAGTGGAATGCCTTGTTACGTTTCTGTGGTATGTTAAGGCCCTGAACATTCAGGGTGAGAATATTTAAGGAACCCATGGGGAGAGTGTGTAGCGAGCCAGATAGTAGGGTGTTACCAGCTTGGAGGGAATCTGGTTGTCATAGTAGGAGGCAGTTGGGTGGGATAAGGAGTTACACAAAGTTGTGGAGTCACGGGGGGGAGGGGGGAAGGATAGAGAAAGATGTCAGGAGGGGGATGTAGGGGGCCATTCTAGGCCTAGGAGATGGTCCCCGGAGTCACCCACAAATCGGTTGGTCTAGGGAGCAGTAGTAGCCCAAATAGTATCAAAGACTCGATACCAAAGGGGCTAGTAGTGGGTGTGCTGGTACGCGGGCCGCGGGAGAGACAGCATATATACAGATGTATAGCAGTGAGATCCTGGGGAAAAAAAACATTAAGGTAGGCTCACGGAGGAGTCAGGGGGTCTTCAGTTCGGGCAGCACTGGCTATCTAGGTTAGCCAGTAATGGTGAGAGGATATAGTCTACTGTGCCGCCAGGTCCGAAGTCCCTGTACATAAATTCAAACATAACCGTTGAAAAATTAGTCCGACAAGTGGCATATAAGGCACAACAAGCTCTCAGCAATAGAAGAGAGAGAAAGGTAAAGATGACCTTAACTGGTGGGACAACAGGAAAGAGTTTTCTCAGTACATGTTAAAACATTGAGAAAAAAAGAAAGAAAAAGGAAGAAAGCTGAAAAAGAGCAAAATAACGGTATGGGCCCTGAAGGCAAACATAAGGATACGGAAGTTTAATGTCTGTATCTGGGTGAGAGATGAGGAGAACAGACACTATGAGTGTAATTACTGTGGTGGCGGAGTTCCACTGTGTTGAGTGTAAGCGGTGGAGTGAAGGTTGGTTGTTGAGATTCAGTCCATGGAAATTTGTGAGATGGAGCAGGTGACAAAAAACGCCCTAGTTTGTGGGTGTTGAGTTGACCATTGATGGGGTGGTGAGGGTGAGGTTTCTGTGGTGAGCAGGACGCTGAATGCCATCTGGAGCCTTCCAATGGTGTTGTTGGTGGGTGTAGGTGGAGGTTTCGCAGAGTGTCCTGTAACTCGTCGGGGGTCTTGCAGGTGTAGTCTCGGGTTTGGTAGCAGAAACGCACTGCGATTGGGAAGCTCCATTTATATGGTATGCCATGTTGTTGGGGCGTCTGTAGATGAGGTTTCCAGGCCCTGCGTTTGGCGATGGTAGTGAGGCAGAGGTCTTGAAACAGCTGGTAGGTGTGACCTTGGAACGTGAGGGATTCTGCATTATGGGCTGCTTGCAGGAGTTGTTCTTTAGTGCGAAAAAAGTGGAGTTTGGCTATGATATCACGTGGTGGGCCATCGTTGCGTCGTGGAGCTAATGCCCTATGAACCCTGTCCATTTCCAGGCGTTCTATTGGGATAGCGGGGGCGAGCTCTTGAAATACCACTGTAACAGTAGATTGGACGTCAATGACCAACTCAGGAAGGTCACGGATTCGTAAATTTGAGCGCCTAGCCTGATTCTCAAAGTCCTCTAGACTCGTTTGCAGTGTTGCATTTTCATCACGCAGAAAGTCATGGTCATCTGCATGTGTCTGAAATGAGGCGTCGAGGTCATCCACTCTCTGTTCGGGGTCAGCAGTGCGTTTTCCTAGTTCACAGATTTCTCTGGACAGCTTGTCTGTGATGTGGTCAGAAGTCTGTTTCAGGGCTTTGCGCAGCATTTGTTCAAAGCGCATAAGAAGGTCAGGAGAAGTAAGATCAGGAGTAGAAGCATGTATGGGGGTCTCTGGGTCAATATCTGACTCACCCTCAGATGTGCAGGGATGGCTTGGCTTCTCTATCTGCAGGGCTGCATAGGTCTGTGCAGCTTTCTTGCTGCCAGGAGAGGGTGCAGTGGCCATCTTGGAGGAGGCTCGAGCCAGGGCCTCCTTAATGGGTTTGTTATGCGGCAGAGCTTGGTGCCGGGACCATGCTGGCGTGAGGCAGGGGGGTTGCTACGGCAACCGGAGCCGTTTATACTACGGCGCGGGCCGGGATCCTCGTTCCGGCGGCTGTCTTCCCTGTGACGAGAAGGAGCATCAGGGAGACTTGTCTGACCCGCCGGCCGCGCATGCGCACTCTAAAGAACCTGTTTTATGTAACATTTATTTTCCTGTAGGCTAAAAGACAGGGATTGAAAGAGGTGAATTTTGAATAA